ATCCTTTCCACAGCAGCTCAGACGTGTGTCTCACGCACCATCTCCGTGGGGCCGCACTCCTGACCAGCACAGTTTATATTTACTGGCACAAGGTTCAGAAACCTCCCTCTGGTGAATTCAGCAGCATGGGCTGACTGAAAGTAAAGCTGAACCCGATCCAGAACCCTTTGGTTCCCTGTCTGTCCTTCAGAGGCTCCTGGGTTCTGCCCAGCTGATGCCATCAGGCAAGTGCCAGCTCTGCCACCAGCAGCAGCGAGTGCCCCTCGCCCCCAGCTTCCATGGAAACTTCCAGCAGGCTCTGCAGCTTCCGTTTCCCTCGAGGTTTTCACTACTTTTCCTTTTAACTCCTGGCAGTTAACACTTGCAGCTGAAGATGAAATTTTAAATGTTTTCAAAACATTTAAGAAGTTAGGAATTTTCTGACCCTGGCACAGGTGTTAGCACTACTCAGCTGGAAATTTTTTTTTCCAAGAGTTAATGATCCACTGCCATGCTTCTCATACTGACCACTGGGGCTAGCTTTGAGTCTGCTCCTAATCACTCTCTTCATTAATGGCTGGAATGGCAGATTAAAAATAATTTAAATACTGTGGAGTACTGGAGAGAGGACAATGAGGAAAGAGATGGAGGTGCAAGTCCTCTGAAAGCCTCATGGCACAGTAACTGCCCCAGAGTGCCACCCTCTCCTATCTTCCTAGGAAATCTTAAATTTAACTCATCCCACCAGCAATAAAACACCACGACAAGGAGGAAAAAAGGAATGGTGTCAGTTTTAACCAGTTTGATGTGGGGAGCAAAGCACTGCTTTTCCCAAGACAGGGAAAGGCTTCTTTGGGATTGCCACTTCCAAACTTTTAGCACTGTGGTCTTGAGACAAAAAAACAACTGGTGACAGGCTACAGAACAACAGAAACGACAGGAACTGAAGGAATCACCAGGAAATGCTCAAGAACTAGACTGGTTTGGTCCAGTGGGGAAAGGGGAAAACCGCTGCCAAAAAAGGACTGGGAGGAAGGAGGGGGAAGTCATTTTACAAGTCTGGCAAAAACACACCAACCCTCCTGCACGAGCGTCACTTAGTGATTGTTGTGCACTGCTACTGGGCAGAGGGGAAACAAGAGAAATCTGATTCTCTGAAATGGGAATGTACTTATTTTCTCACAAAGCGGGCTGAGCACCTCGCTGCAAACATATCCTGTTCCTTCTCCTTGGCCAGCTGAATCCTCAAACACACGCCCGCAGTCTCCAAGCCTCCCATCTGCTGCTCCTCTCTGCCTTCCAAGAATTTCACCAAGCAACTGCTGTGATATCAGAAACCTCACTCAGCAAAGCACTGCAGGCAGTGAGCTTTAGCTCCACGTCTGGCCTGGCAGCAGCACCACGGCGCCTTCCCAGGTGCTCTGTGGAACCTGGAGATGCCCAGGGAGAGGATGTGGGACCACCTGCATCCTTCTGGAGCAGCAGCTGGGGCCAGGCTGAAGGCAGCAGGGCAGCTCCCAGGGAATCAGATGCCCAGGAGCTCTCAGGGAAACCCAGCTCATGCCAAGACACAACACGGGCAGCGAGCATGTATCCCTGCTGATTTCTGTCCAGTGCTGTTTGACAAGTGTCGTGACAAGGACTTTGGCTTCACACCTATTTGGTCACTAGTGCAGAATCCCCAGCCTCAGGCAGGGTCTGAGGGCTCCTTCAGCCCACTACCATGGGAGAATCCCAAAGGAATAACGAAAACTGGGACATGACACCACGATTAATGAGCTGGTTTAAGCTGGAATAATCAACATGTGTCAAGTGGTCATATCGAGTAGTTTTAAAGATTTTGCACATTTTAAGTGATTTAATTAAATACCTGAGCTTAATCGGTGTTTGGTAACAGAACCACACAATAACTGAGGTTGGCAAAGACCCTTCTGCTCGAGCAGGGTCAGCAGGAACAGGCTGCCCAGGCCCATGTCCAATTGGGTTTTGACTCTCTCTGAGGATGGAAACTCCACAAACACTCTGAGCAGCTCGTGCCAGTGCTTGGTCACCCTCAGAGCAAAAGGTATTTTTCTTAAGGCCTGTGAAACTTGACGTGTTTCAGTTTGTGTCCTTTGCCTTCTGTCCTGGCACTGGGCACCACTGGGATGAGCTGGGCTCTGCTGCCCTCGCTGCCCTCTCTCAAGGGCCTACAGACACTGATAAATATATAAATATATATATACATTACATGTCCATTGATAAGGCCACGGTGACCAGGAGAGGTTCATGAGGCTTGGCAGAAAGCAAATGTGACCCATCCCTTCAGACAGGGCAAGGAGGAGGAATGGCAGGGTCAGCCCCTCCTTGGCTCCTGGGAAGCAGCTGTTCCTGGAAACCACTTCTAAACAAGGACAAAGTGTTTGGGAGGTAGGCTGCTGGATTTAAGGAAGGGAAAGCAGGCTTAACCAATGTCTTCCATGGTGAGATGGCTGGCCCAGTGGAGGAGCACAGAGCAGCAGATGTTGGAAGGGACTGTACAGATCATCTCATTCCACTCCTGCCATGGGCCTTCCACTGCCCCAGGTGCTCCCAGCCCCAATATCCAGGCCGGCCTTGGCACTGCCAGGGATCCAGGGGCAGCCACAGCTGCTCTGGGCACCCTGTGCCAGGGCCTCAGCACCCTCACAGGGAAGATCTTCATCCCAATAACCCATCTAAACCTGGTGGGAAGCCATTCCCCTTTGTCCCACACACATCTCACACAGCCCAGGACAAGCAGAGAATTAAAATTAATTCTACTTTAAAAAGCCCAGCTCAGACAGTGCACAGGCATTCCTGCAGCATGGCTGGACACTCTCATCCAAGGAGTCCTCTGAAGCATGACTGACACCACTGCCCTGGAGCAGAGATTGATTCCAGGAGTTCCCACTGTCCCCCCTCCGGAGGAACCTCGGGAGCTTCAGCTCAGCTCCCCCTGGGCAGCCCATCTGTTCATGGATTCAGCAAATCCTGCTGTGGAAGCCTCCTAAATCTCCTTCCAGGTTAGTGGGGTTAGCTCAAACCACCAATTTGAGCTGTTTAAGCTCATCCTGCCAATTCTTCCCACAGCCAATTAGAGGGTGCTGACACAAGCAGGGAGCGGGAGACCAGAAACACGCTGGGAAAGGAACGGGTTGGGCTACAAGGATGTTTATCTGAGGCTTAAATCCTTGTTGGCTCCGCAGGGCTCCCCTCAGCACTGCTGCAACCCCTCTCCAGCCAGCAGATCCCAGCGCACCCCGAGTTCCGACAGCAGCAAGGTGAGCATCTCCAGCAGCTCCCACCAGGAAAGAGCAATGCCACTGCCTCACACCAGGATTTATTTTCAAGGGAACACAGGGAGCAGTTTTCTAGGAGTTGAGAAGGCATCTGGCTCTGGAGGCAGGGAGCAAACGTGCACTAAAAGCCACGAACACAGGGAAGATGGACTTTTTTTATGTCAACAAGCGACCAGGACTTCCCATGGTGCAAAACCCTTCCTGTCTTGACGCAGTACAAACCTGCCCAGCTCCTGGCAGCACTGTTGGAACCGTCCACTGTTGGGCCAAGATTATCGCAAAAACACCCGAGGAAGTGGGGAAACACCCCCGCGGCCGGCATCCCCTGGGGGGGACGGTGCTCTCCGTCCCCTCGGGGCACCTCCCGATGCCCCAAGCAGAGGGCTCGGCCCCAGGACCCCTCCCCGCACGACCGGGGCTGAGCCCCCGCGAACTCATCGCACCCCGGGCACAGGCCCCGCCCCCGGGCACAGGCCCCGCCCCCCGGGCTGAGCTCATCGCGCCTCCCGCCCGCCGGCCCCGCCCCCCGGGCTGAGCCCCCGCGAACTCACNCCCCCCCCGCCCCTCCCGGTCCAGGATGGGGGGGGCGCAGGTGCCGCCGCCGCCGCCGCCGCCGCACCTTGCTCCGGCGGCCGCTGCTCCCCGCCCGCTGCTCCGGCGGCCGTGCTGGCTGCGGGCTCGGCCTGCTGCCGCCGGGCCCGTGTGGAGAGGCGGCTGCGGCACAGCGGGCAGCAGAGGCCCGGGCCCTGCAGGCAGCGCTGGAAGCAGGCGAGGCAGAGCGAGTGGCGGCAGGGCGGCGTCACGGCCTCCACCAGCGCCTGCCGGCACACCGGGCACTCGGCCACCGACAGCACCACCGCGTCCTGCTGCTCCTCGGCCGCGGGCCGGCCCCGCCGCCGCCGCCCCCGCACCGCGGCCCGGCCGCCGGCACCCGCCGCCGCCGCCGCCATCTTCCCACACTTTGAAGGGCCGCGGCGGCCACGCCCATCCCGCATAATTCATGAGGGGACGCCCCGCGCGCGGCATAGTAATGAGCGCGCGCCGGCCACGCCCGCTCATGAATATTCATCGCCGCGGCAGGCGGCAGCGCCCCCCCGCGCGGCCCCGCTCCCGCTCGGGACGGGACGGGCTGGGCACCCGCTTGTTGGGGATAAATCATGGAACCGCAGATGGGCGGGGGTGGAAGGACCCTGCGGACCGTCCAGTGCCGCCCCTGCCATGGCAGGGACACCTTCCACCGCGCCAGGCTGCTCCAAACCCTGGCCAGCCTGGCCTGGGGCACTGCCAGGGATCCAAGCCCTGGGCACCCTGTGCCAGGGCTTTTCCACCCTCACAGGGAACAACTCCCCCTGCCAGGGATCCATGGCAGCAACACCTGCTCTGGGCACCTGTGCCAGGGCTTTTCCATCCTCACAGGGAACAACTCCTAATTCTCAGTATCCCACCCATCCCTCTGGCAGTGGGAGCCATTCCCTGTGTCCTGTCCCTCCATCCCTTGTCCCCAGTCCCTCTCCAGCTCCCCTGGAGCCCTTCAAGCTCTCGCAGGTGTCCCCCGGTGAACACCCCCAGCTCTGCCCGCCGTGGTCACAGCGGGTGGCTGGTCCCTCTGTCCTTATCCCGAGCCAGGAGCCTTTGCTCAGTGCTCCCTCCGCTGTCCAGCTGAGGAGGGGCTGCCGGAGCAGCTTGGGTGGGTACCCGGCGTCCAGCCAGAGATAAACCACCATGGACGGTGACTCAGAGCGAGCCAGAGCAGGCAGAGCCTCTGCACCAGTTGCTATGGAAATCTCTTGCACTTCTCTTCTGCTTCTCATCTCTTTACTGGGGCACCAAACCAATCTGTATTTTCATCATATTTTAGCACCCTCTCTGATGAAGCTCAGAACGAAGCACCCTCTCAGCTACACCGGGCTGGCAGAAGCGAAAATGTGGCTGCAGAGACAGAGGTGAAGCCTACACCTTTGAGCCTCCCTGAGCATGCTCCTCTCTCCTTGGCTGGAGAGAGGAAGGGCTGACCCGTGCCCAGGAAACAGCCTGTGCACGAGTGCCAGGAGCTTGCTGGGGGATATCACTAACTCCCCATCTCACCCACACTTCTATCTTTAGTTGTCTCTGGCTGTTGAATGACTAAAAGGATTACCAGCATGTGGATCCCTGCTGCTGCGGGCTCCATGAAATGCCAGCTGACAGAGAAGTTGCTTCTCACGAAACAAAAACCTCGCACTGACTTCATTAAATGAAGGATGGCAGCGGTTTGGGACTGGCCCGAGTCCAGCAGTTTGTGTCTGTCCCGCAGGCGCTGCTGCTGCTGCTGGCCACAGTCAGAGGGAGTGAGCTATTCCCGAGCTCCCCACAAAGCTGCTGCTCCCGGGATCAGCCTGGACCGGGAGCTGGGAGCGGGGCAGCCCTCGGGGAGGGACAGAGAACGTGGGAGCAGGAGACCCTTCCCCACCAAAGCTACCTGCAGGACAAAGAGCTGTGCAGAGCTCTGCAGAGTCCCAGGCACGCTGCATTTGGGAAAGGATCTCTGCCAGCTGTGCTCCTAAATCGCTGCTGCACATCCAGCTGCCCTGGACACAACTCGGCTTCTGTGTCTCCAGCTTGTCTTCCAGCCCAAAGCCCCACAAGGGGCAATGTTTTTACACGGCCGGAGGGCAGGATTGAGTGGAATACTGGGAATATTTAACAACAAGAGTCATAAAGAAATGGCCCAGGGTGCCCAGGGAAGCTGTGGCAGCCCCTGGATCCCTGGAGGGACCTGGAGCAGCCCGGGGCAGGGGCAGGTGTCCCTGCCCAGGCAGGGGTGGCACTGCGGGGGCTCTGAGGCTCCTTTGCCCGAACCCCCCGTGGTTGTGCAGCTGGGACGTGTGGAGCTCAGGGCTGGCCTGCAGAGGGAATCCTAAGCCCGTGCAAGGCTCCAGCCTCAAATCCTGCCGTCCCCAGCCAAAACCTCAGCCTGGCTGGCCTGCAGAGGGAATCCTAAGCCCGTGCAAGGCTCCAGCCTCAAATCCTGCCTCAGCCCTGCCCAGCCTGTCAGGGAAGGTTTCCCTGCTGCTCACCTCTCCCGAGGAGCTGGCAGGGCTTTGCCACCGCCGTTTCTCTTCCCGGTGCTCCCAGAGAAGATGCTGCCCACCGTCCATGGGGTGCAGGTGGGATGGGTCGTGATGCACAGGAGATACAGACAGCCCAAGGACCTCTGCTCTCCCATTTCTCCTCTCTCTTCTTCCCCCTTGCTTATTCAGCCTTTCTTCACCCCTGCCTCTTGCCTGGTTGCTGATCTCCATGCCTGGAGCAGAATCTCTTACCACTGTCCTCTCTGTGTCACTGGTTTGCACAGATTACAGACTATTTATTTGGGTTTGTGCTCGGCAACGTGCTCAGACTCTTAAAAAAAAGGACCAGGTTTCCCATTCCAGGCTGGACTAGGTGCTTCCATCAGTAAATTATCTTCTTAAGCCTCACTGCTCGATTTAGCTCTACTCTGTGGAATATGGCAGAGAAAATAATTCCATTTTGTGCCCAGCTGACATAGCTTGGACTTCTGGCAGCCTGACGTGGGGTGCAGTGACTCCTCCTCAAATGCAGGCCAGAGATGAAGGACATGGTCACTAGCCATAAAGAACAGTGGAGGGAGACTATGGAATTAGAGCAGGAATCCCTCCTGTGCTTTAGGCAGCCCCACCTGCCCTCCTGCTGGCCGCAGTTCCCACGTGGCTGTCACGGTTTTGCTCAGGGTGCCTCTCATGCCACAGCCCGTGGTTCAAAAGAGCAGCACAGTGAAGTCCTGGGAGGCGTTTTCCCTGGTGATGATGAGAGGAGGTTGGTGCCAGCCCGAGGGTGAGGCTGGCCACGGGCTGTGAGCGGGCTCTGCGGGGCTCCCTGCAGGGTGAAGGACGATCCATCCTGGATAACAGCGTGGTTAGCAGCTGCCTGGCCAGCATCCCGGCCTGTCCCAGCTCTGGGGGCAGCAGGAGCAGGGCGGTGCCTGTCCCTGTGCTGGAACCCAGGGTGAATTCCGGGCCCCTCACTCCCAGGAGCTCAGCGGCTCCTCCGTTCCCGGACAGGACTCACTCCCGCAGCCCAATCCCTTCAGAGCAGAGTCCTGCAGTTCCCAGCGCCACTGCCTGCAGCTGACATCCCTCTCATGTGCCTTTCTCCTGGCCCACGCTGGATCAAATGCCAGGGACGCAGGGCTGCACACTTCCAAGGAAAGGCGCAGTGTGCAGCCAGCTCCTGCAGCCTGCAGCCTGGCCAGCTCACTCCAGCCACAACCCTGGCAAGGTGGGAACGCTATTGCAGCCCTGTTTACTCAGCGATTTGTAGGAGATTCTGTTTTCATTCTCACTAAAAAATAAAAAATAGAAAAAAAACCCCGTGAATTGTCTTGTCCTCTTGATTGCCCACAAAACATAAAGTGAGTTTGACCTAAAGACTCGAGAACCAGAAGACAAACAGAACACACCCATGTTTTACTATCTGCAGGCCAATGCCATGGTTTTTGGAGCCTGATTCATGATCACAGATGGATTGATGTTGGCAGTATTGAACTGTCAGACAGATTCCTTCACAGATGAAGATAAAGAGCCTTGGTTTTGCCAAAGGGTGAATGTATTCTTTATGAGACCCAACAGGGATGTAACACAGCACCTTGCTCCTGACAAGGCTGGCCTTTATTTCCTGGGTCTGCACTTAGGACAGGCCTGAACTTTCCCATAAGTTCCAGCCCTGATGTGGGGCCAGGATCTACAGTCCTGGATTCAGCTGTTGCTGCTGCAGCAGAGGCACAAAATAACTCCATTGACTTGGACCTTGTGTCCCCATTTTTCTCAGCCCTTTCATAACTTGCCCACAGAGTTGTGCTACAAATGGGCTTTTCAAGTCAGCCCAGAGCAAGGGAAGAGCTGGGAGAGGAGGCAGCAGCTTTTCCTGGTGGGAGCTGGAAGGAGCCTGCTGTTTACCCAAACCCCTTTAAACATCATCAGGGCAGCGTGAGGGGAAAATAGAGGAGCATTGCTAGAAAAACTTGCAGAGAGTGGAAATGAGTGGAGCAGGGAAAAAGGGGAAGTGGCTTTAGGTGGTGATAACTTTAATCTCTGGGTCCAACAGCAGCAGAACCTGGAGCTGCTGGAGAGAGCCCAGAGGAGGCTCCAGGGCTGGAGCCAGGCTGGGAGAGCTGGGGGTGCTCACCTGGAGAGGAGAAGGCTCCAGGGAGAGCTCAGAGCCCTTGCAGGGCCTGAAGGGGCTCCAGGAGAGCTGGAGAGGGACTGGGGACAAGGCATGGAGGGACAGGACACAGGGAATGGCTCCCACTGCCAGAGGGCAGGGATGGACATAGGGAAGAAAATCTTCCTTATGAGAAGAATTCCCACTTATGGCTGGCCCTGGAATGTGGCAGCACAGCTTGTGCTCTCTGTGGGGGTCAGTGCCAGATGATGAGCAGAGTGTCCCTGGATTCTGGGCTCCTGTATCCCCAGAGTTCCTGGGGATTCCTTCAGCAGAATCCCACTCATCATTCCCAGGGGAGGGCACCGAGTGGTAAAATTGTTGTTGGAGCTGGTAAAGAACAGATTGTGGCCATCCCTGCAGATGTCTCAGCCCTGCCCTCTGCTCTGCACACTGGGCTGTGCTCTTGGAGGGTCACAGGTATTCCTGGGGGGGACAGTCAAGGTGGGGTGAAGATTCCCCTGCTTTTCATCCCTGGGATTCAGTGCTTCCCCCTTCCTTCCCAGGATATATGTCCAGCCCATGTGGGCACAGAAATGTCTCTTGATTTCTTTTGTTTGCAGCTTAAAGAGAAAATAACAAAGCTGGTGATTTAGAGGGATATTAAAATCTTCCTTATTACAAAGATTTCCCTCATATCCAGCTCCAGGAACAGGCACCTGCAAGCATGGTTTGGTACAGGGGCAAGTGCTGGCACCTGGGGTAGACTTGGAGACAGGCAAAATCAGGAGATGCATGGAAAGAAGAGGGTTTTTTTCTGCAGAAACTGCCCTTGATTTCTTTCATGTCTGCAAGAAATGGGCCTTGTGGTTGGTGTGACCAGGATAAGGGGTTTGGGGACACTGTGGCAGGCCAGTGTCTTGGTGCCACTCTCAGTGTGGGATGGCAGCAGGCACGAAGATGTCACAGCCTGGAAAGCCCAATCCTGAGCTTGAATTAAAGGACAAAATGAACAGCTTGGCTGATGGAGATCTCCTGTCACCAGAGGGATCACAGGTGATGGCAGCTCCTTCCTGGGCAGCGGTGTGAGAAAGCTGAAGGAGATAACAGAGAGAGACCTTGTGTTTGCAGAGAAGAAGCCCAGGAACCCTGCGGGGTCTGGGAGCTCCATCCCAGCCTTCCCGGTGGTGGAACATGGAGGTGTTTATTGCTGCATTAAATCCTGGATTCGTGTGCTAATGAAGCGCCTTGCTCTGAGCACCCCTGAGTTGTGAGGGTGGAACAGGAGAATGGGTGAAAAGCCACACAAAATCTGGTCTAGGGAAGCTGCCGAAATTCACTCCATAATGCGGGTTCCTGAAGCAGGGGCTACACTGGGCATTTAAAGGGCTTTATGGAGAGGAGGGATTGCCAAGCAGCCGGTGGGGAGAGCCGGGTGTCCCGGTGCCGCCGGACAGGGAGAAGGGGCGGTGATGTCCCCATCCCTGCCGCCTCTTGGCTCGCAGCCCCGGCCGGGCTGCAGGGCTGCAGGGGTTAACCCTGCGGCTCCCGCACCACCTCCCGCCCGCCCTCCTCCTCCCTCCCGCCGCCGAGGAATTTCCTAAAACACCCCCCAAAAAAAGTGGGAATATAACAATAATAAAAAAATGTATAAATTACCCACCCTGCGGATCCCCCTCCCTTCGATCTCCGCCTTTAATACCAACAAACAACTCCTCGACTCTCCCTAAAGGAGGCGCCTTTGATCGGAGCGAGACGAGCCCCGCCGGGCACCGGCACCGGCACCCCCGGGCACCGGCACGGCACGGCACGGCACGGCAGCACCCCCGGCACCGGCACCGCCGGGCACCGACAGCCCTGACACCGGCACCGGAGCGCTGCCGACACCGACAGCCCAGGGCGACGGCACCCGGCACCGGCACCTCCGGGCACCGACAGCCCTGACACCGGCACCGCCGGCACCGGCACCGATAGCCCCAGGCACCGCCAGGCACCCACAGCCCCGGACACCGGCACCGCCGGCCACCGACAGCCCTGACACAGGCACCGGCACCTCCGGGCACCGACAGCCCCGGCTCCGGCAGCCCCGGGCACCGCACGGTGCTCCGAGGCGCCCGACCCCGGAATCGAGACCGCGGCACCGCCGGGCACCGGCAGCGGGAGCGAAGCCCTCAGCGCAGACCCCGAGACATCCCCGGGACACCGGGCAGCGCGCCGCCGGCACCGGGAGCGAAGCCCCAGGGCACCAGCACGGGCTGCGATGCTTCCCGGGGCGGGTCCCCTCGCCTTCCTCCTCCGGTGCCTCCTGCTCCTCTTCGCCTCCGAGAGCCGAGCCCGGGCTCGTAAGTCTCACCCGCTCTTGTCCCGGCTGCGCTCTTCCCTCCGTGCCTCAGTTTCCCCGGCGCCGGGGTCCCCGGGAGTTTGCGGGGTGCTTGGCGGGCGCGGCTGCGGGCACGGGGAGGTTTCTGACCACGGCAGGGGCCGGGTCCCCGCGGCGGGGATGTCCCGGGAAATGCCGGGTGTGCTGTCCTGCAATGCTGGGGACACTCGTGGCTGTGTCCCCCCGGCCCGCTGCTGTCCCGCCGGCTCTGCGGGGCTGCAGAGCACGGGGCTCTGCTCTGCGAGGGGGCTGGGGGCTCCGGGGGCTGGCAGGGGCGGGAGGAAGGCCCGGGACCCCCCTGCATGGGCTAGAAATGCCACAGAGCAGGAGGCTGACTTACAGATCCCACCCTGCGCCAGTGCAGCTCCCCTCCGAGGGGCGACGGCACAGGGACAACGCCTCCCCCGCCCCAGACAGAGCCGGGGGCTTTCCTCCGTGTCCATCCCTTGTCCCTCTCCGTGTCTGTCCCTTGTCCCTCTCCGTGTCTGTCCCTTGTCCATCTCCGTGTCCATCCCTTATCCATCTCCGTGTCCGTCCCTTGTCCATCTCCATGTCCATCCCTCGTCCATCTCCGTGTCCGTCCCTTGTCCCTCTCCGTGTCCATCCCTTGTCCCTCTCCGTGTCCGTCCCTTGTCCCTCTCCGTGTCCATCCCTTGTCCCTCTCCGTGTCCGTCCCTTGTCCCTCTCCGTGTCCATCCCTTGTCCATCTCCGTGTCCGTCCCTTGTCCATCTCTGTGTCCGTCCCTTGTCCCTCTCCGTGTCCATCCCTTGTCCCTCTCCGTGTCCATCCCTTGTCCATCTCCGTGTCCATCCCTTGTCCCTCTCCGTGTCCGTCCCTTGTCCATCTCCGTGTCTGTCCCTTGTCCCTCTCCATGTCCGTCCCTTGTCCATCTCCGTGTCCATCCCTCGGTCTCTCCCACTTTGGCTCCCAGCGGGCTGGCTGAGGCAGAGGAGGGCTGGCATAAGGAAGGGAGGTTTGGCACTGCCACGGAAAGGCTTGAAGGACTTGGCCAGAGCTGCTCAGGAGCTTGGAGGGCGCTGGATGCGTTAATTGGGGCCGGGAGGTGGGCTTGGCTTGGGCAAGCACTGGGACCCTCCCAGTGCGTGCCGGGCAACACCGCGGAGCCACCAGAGCTGCGGGCAAACTGGAGCGGGACCTGTTGTGTCCCTGCATTCACTCTTCCCTTCAGCCTCCTGGAATCCCAGCGGAGCCTGCCGGTGGCTTTGTCAGGGTGATTTACAGCGTGCCTGCTGCCAGCAGTGCATTAGGGACTCGGTAACCATCCTGCTGGAGCGCGGGCCCAAAACACGAGCTCGGGATCATCATCCCGCCGGTGGGGCGTGCTGGGGGGAGAGGCGGGGCATGGATGGGGCTGTGCAGAGCCCTGGAGAGCAAACTCCGGGAGAATTCAGCTCCTTTCCCTCCCCTGGGCTCACGCAGAGCTGCCAAACGCAGCCCGCAGCATCTGGGTCCGGCTCCCGGCCTGCGCGGCAGGGCTGGGACGGGAGCGGCCGGGAGGAAGGTGGGACAGCTTGGGATGAGGAGTTTGCTCTTTGCAGGCTGCAACAGCCCGTAAGTTGGGCATTAACTGCGCTGGGGGCGGGCAGGAAGGGCTTGTCTGCTCCGGGGGAAGGTCGGGGGCTGTTGGCAGACTGGAATGCTGATGGAGAGCTGCTGGCTGTGGGATGGAAGCAGGGCTGGGGCAGGGCGCCCCACGGCCACTGCCCAGCTCTGGAACACTTCAGCTTTGCCACAGGGCTTGGCACGCCGTGTGGAGGGCTCGGCCAGCACCTGCCCCCAGGTTTGGGCAGGCTGGTTTGGGTGGCAGAGTCATCATCAAATTGTGGACTTCTGTCCATCCTCTACCTCTGCAGGCTCACGCTTGTCTCAGGGCTGGTGCTCAGGGAGAGTGAAGACAGGAATAAATTAGTTACGAGCAGGCTCATCAGCCAAGGGACCTACAGTGTCGTGGCTAAAAATAGGTGAGAAGCAGAAATGCTCAGGCTTGAAGGCAAGTCAGAAAAGAAGAATTTGCCCACAGAAACAGGCTATTTTAGGGGATTTGCACTCCAGCTGAAAAGAAATATCAGAGGCACAGGTTGCTGGGACCAATGTGCTGCACTCTGAGAAATTCAGGGGCAGTGGTTGAACGCAAGGATGTTTTGCTGGAGGCATTTAAACAGGAGCATCTTTGGAGAGCATGGGGCAGAGGTTCTCCCCAAGAGCTTGGAAGCTGCTGCTTCATTTCTTTTTAACATGGTTGCTGGAGAAAAGGGGGTTCCTGGGATCCCTCTGTCCTACAAGTTTGGATCCAGCAGGGATGAAGGGTGCTCCAGGATGGAAAGTGAGTGCTACCCATGGCAAGGGAGAGGCGAGGGCTGCACACCCTGACACAGGTAACAGAGGGAAGGAACAGGGGTTCCCTTGGGAAGGAGTGGGGGGAAGCAGGACCCCACTGCTTGGCTTCTCCACTCTGGAGGGCTCAGAGATGCTTCCTGAGGCTGCATTTTCAGAGCTACAGAGTTCTCCAGGCTCCCAAAGTGCCAAGAAGATATTTCCAGCCCAGAGCTGAGCGGGACAAGTGTGCAGGAGTTGATCTGGATGTGAGCAGAGTCTTTAGGATGCCACATGTCAAGGGCTCTGTGTGTTTTAGCCAGTCCCTTCTCAGCTAAGTTGCATTTTAAGCCCTTCATAAATACAAGGCTGTCACAGGAGCGCCTGGACTCTGTGTACCAGACAGTGCTCTTTGCACTTTATTTATGGCTGCTCTTGAAAACTGGTTTGCATGAGCTGCCTCCCTCATGCCCAGCACGGCGCTGGCTGGCAGGTGTGAGACCTCCAGGAAAGCTGTGGGAGCTGAGAGCCCAGAGACTGCTCCAAAGGTGCCATCTGGGGCTGCAGGACCACCCTTCCCCCCTCAGCCGCGGGATGGAACGGGAGAAGAGCAGTGAGGGAGATGAGCAAGGCCCCACAAGCTCTTGTTGAGCCATCAAACTGCTCAGAGCTCCCAGAGACAGAATCACAGAACCCCACGTGGCTTGGAAAGGACATTAAAGATTTAGGATAGGTATTGTGGAAGCTTGCCAGCTTCCAGGAATTTGAAACCTCACCAGAGGCTGTTCTGAAGCTCTGAGCAGCATCTTCACAAGGTGCTTCAGAGACACCAGCCCACGGTGACAAACTGAATGGCGTGGAGAAACCCCCCCTGGCTGCACCTCTCACACCACGAGGAGGGAATGGCTCCTTAGGATGCACCTCAACAGCTTCAGCCACCAACAAGGGGCCATCCCACAGCTTCCTGACCTGCTCTGGGTCCAGGGAGATGTAAACCCACATCACTTTTCTGAGCGTGCTGCTGCCGAAGGTGCCGTAAGTGAGATCACCTTGCTGATCAGCACGGGAGACATCCACTGCCACAAATGGCTTTTCATTCCATCCAAGTGATGATGGATGATGTTCAAAGTTTGACCTCTGAAGGTGAAATTATTAGCCTGGCATGGGAAAAAATGGTCCAGAGCCTCTAGCTTTTAAGCCTCATCCATCCATCCATCCATCCATCCATCCATCCATCCATCCATCCATCCATCCCCATCTTGCTCTTGCCCAAGCACGCTGGCGCCACTTGCCAGAAACACAGCACTGCTGAGGTGCCAACAAGTGTCTGCTGCTGCCCAGCACCGCCAGTCAGCTTTAATTTTACCAGCAGGCCCTTTGCAGACATGAATCAGGCTGCTTTCGAGGGCTGGACCCAAACCAGGGCTCCACTTGTGATTAAATGTTTGAAGGAAGCAGCCAACTGGCATGGGAGCCGGGAGCTGAGCGTCACACCAAGGCAACTCGATTTCTTCACCCTCAGCATAATTCATGGGGATGCTGCAAGCAGGGAGAGATGAAGTCATTCTCTCACCCTTTTGCACAACTGTGATTTTTTGTTTTGTTTATGTTTTGTCATTTTGGGGGTTTTTTGTTTGGTTTTTTTTTTAGTTTAGTGGAGGTTTTTTCCTCCCCACTCTGGGTTTCCTCGTATTCAAGCCACGTGCTCACCAGTTCTGTGTGGTTTGCTGTGACCTGTGTGGCCAGGAGCAGGCAGCTGCTGACTCTCAAGGGCTATGGGGACAGTGTGAAGGCCTTTTCAGGGAAAAGGAAGGAAAACACCTCTGCCAGTCCCTCTGGTAACCCCCAAAGCCACTGCAAACCCCCACATCTGCTGTGCCTGGGCCAGGCGCTCTGGACAGCTCTGGTCACCACTTGTGAAGGTGCAGCTTGGGGAACCAAGTGCATAAAGACACCCAAGAGAGGCTCAGACCTGCTGGCTTGAGTTGGAAGAGACCTATGAAGACCTTTGTGGACGCACAGGGCTGCCTTTTGTGCTGGCCAAAGGGTCTGGCTGTGGAAGGGCATCACCTGAGGAGGAACTGCAGCCCACCCCAGCAAATTTGGGTGAATTTTTTCTGGTTGATTGGAGAAATCCATTAAGCAGGTGGCATCTCCAACTTTGGCAAGGTGGAACAGCACCAGCTGGGCCCACTGCTGTGTCCCAGGGGATGGAGTGGAGCGTGGGATGGCTCTGGGGGTGGTGAACACCACTGAGATAATTCTGGGCACCCTCTGCTATTCATTAAGGAGCCCTCCCAAGAGCCTGGCAGGGTCAGCACCCGCTGGCTCACCTGGGTCCGTGGTGGGCATCGTGCCTTGGAAAACAGCCCTTCCCCTCTCCTGCCTCCCCAGGGTGCTGCAAGGTTTTAAAAGACCCATAAATGCTCCAGGAGCTGTAAATGTCTCCACTGCCTCCGAGCAATCGCCCAAACTACCTCGAATTCCCTCAATGACATAACCTTTAAAATCCCCTCCAGCTGTCAGCGGGGCTGGGAGCACGTAAAGCAGAGAGTCACCCTCAGACAGGGGTGTGCTCACAAAGGCCTTGGGTCTGGGGTGACCCTCTGCCTGCCCCGGGCTCGGCACACGCCAGGGGACAGTGGCAGCAGCACCCTGGCTGCTGTAGGATCCAGGTTCCTGCAGGGTTTGGGGCTCTCTGCAGTCACCAGGGCTGCATCAAGCCAGGGGAAGCCAAAGGGCTGGGACCCGGTGGGATGGCACAAACAACAGTCCTGCTTGTCCAGGGATCCTCAAGAGATGAGCTGAAACTCTGAGGGGGAGAAAAAGGTTTTTCCCCAGAATGTGTTTTCACCCATAATTTTTTTTTGTTTGGTTTTTCCCCCTCTCTTTCTTCTTTTTCTTTTTTTTTCTTTGGGTAACAGTGAAAATGTCCCCTAAATTCAGAGTCTTCCCTCTCTGTCATCACTCCCAACCATCCTGATCTCAATGGGGGAAACTCCATCCTGAAACATCCATCACCTCTCCATCTTCCAGTGAGCATTTCTGTTTCAGAGTGAAAACTCTATTTTCTGCCTCAAACCACCCATTCTGTCCCTTTCTTGCAAAGGGAATCCAGTTTGCTCAGAGGCGTTGCCACTTGGGTCAGCGGGGCCCCAGTGTAAAAAATGCATGCAAAAAGAAGTAAAACTGGGGGGGGACAAAATCTGAGTTTGGTGGGTGGGATGTGGGAACAAGGAGAAGGCTGTCCTTGCTCTCTCACAGAGAGCTCTCCCAGGAACCAGCCCCTTTTCTCACCTGGCTTCTCCTGGTTGACTTGCAGGGCCGGAGGCGTTCTGCGACTTCAACGGCAAGAAGTACAGCCCGGGGGAGAGCTGGCACCCGTACCTGGAGCCGCAGGGGCTGATGTACTGCATCCGCTGCAGCTGCTCCGAGGCACGTCCGGGCTGGCTGGGCTGCCAGGGACCTGCTCCTGCCGCGAATGACAACGATAATGCTGTTAATGCTAATGCTAATGCTGCTGCTCATAATGCTGCCGCTAATGCTGCTGCTAATCCTGCTAAAGCTGCTGCTCATGCTGCTGCTGCTGCTAGTACTACTACTACTAGTAATAATAATAATAATGTTGCTGCTAATGCTGCTAATGCTGCTAATTCTGCTGCTAATGCTGCTGCTAATGCTAATACTAATGTTAATGCTAATGATGCTAATTCTGCTGTTGCTGCGCGGGGGCTTCGCTCAGCAGCTTTGAAGCAGATGGGTCTCTCTGCCTCATCTGAGCAGAGGAGCTATATCACTGTCTGCCTCCCATGCAGGCAGATAACGATGGGACAAGGGAAGGGGTCTAAACCAGAAGAGAGGAGATTTAGATTAATATGTTCACAAGAAATCCTTCCCTGTGAGGGTGGGCTGGCCCTGGCACAGGGTGCCCAGAGAAGCTGTGGCTGCCCCTGGATCCCTGGCAGTGTTCGAGGCCAGAACACTGGGACAGTGAAGAGAAGGCTGGGAGAGTGAAGAGAAGGCTGGGATAGTGAAGAGAACACTGGGACAGTGAAGAGAACACTGGGACAGTGAAGAGAAGGCTGGGATAGTGAAGAGAACACTGGGATAGTGAAGAGAACATTGGGACAGTGAAGAGAACATTGGGACAGTGAAGAGAACATTGGGACAGTGAAGAGAACACTGGGATAGTGAAGAGAACACTGGGATAGTGAAGAGAAGGCTGGGATAGTGAAGAGAACATTGGGATATGCCCCTGGATCCCTGGCAGTGTTCGAGGCCAGAACACTGGGACAGTGAAGAGAAGGCTGGGAGAGTGAAGAGAAGGCCGGGATAGTGAAGAGAAGGCTGGGATAGTGAAGAGAAGGCTGGGAGAGTGAAGAGAAGGCTGGGATAGTGAAGAGAACACTGGGATAGTGAAGAGAACACTGGGACAGTGAAGAGAAGGCTGGGAGAGTGAAGAGAACACTGGGATAGTGAAGAGAACACTGGGATAGTGAAGAGAACACTGGGATAGTGAAGAGAACACTGGGATAGTGAGGAGAACACTGGGATAGTGAGGAGAACACTGGGATAGTGAAGAGAAGGCTGGGACAGTGAAGAGAACCCTGGGATAGTGAAGAGAAGGCTGGGATTGTGAAGAGAACACTGGGACAGTGAAGAGAACATTGGGAGAGTGAAGAGAACACTGGGATAGTGAGGAGAACACTGGGATAGTGAAGAGAAGGCTGGGACAGTGAAGAGAACCCTGGGATAGTGAAGAGAACACTGGGATTGTGAAGAGAACACTGGGACAGTGAAGAGAACACTGGGGTAGTGGAAGGTGTCCCTGGCCATAGCAGGAGGTGGAACAAGACCTTAAAGGTTCCTTCACAGCTGAATCACTCTGTGATTCCAGGTTCTGCCCCTGTAGCCCTGCTGGCTGTGGCTGGAGGTGGCTGAGGGCTGCTCTGGGGTGACAGATGGGTGGCCTTTGCTGATGAGAGGCAGGCTGGGCTGGAGCCAGGGCTGGAGCCATCCCTGGTGAGCTGCAGCCTGCACGGTCTGTTGTGATGGCGTGTTCCTCCTCCGGCAGGGCTGATCCTGAGCTGAGTGTTCCCTCTCTCTCCGCAGAACACCAACATCCGCTGCTCCCGGATCCAGTGCCCGGCCCTGCCGTGCGCCAGCCCCGTCACCGAGCCCCAGCAGTGCTGCCCGCGGTGTCCCGGTGGGTGCGCGCTCCTCGGGGCCGCGGTGGCCGGGGTGCCTCCACTGCTGCCACCCGCGGCAGGGCAGCCCTGCTGGGCCTGGCCCCGCTCGCCGAGCCCCGGCTGCTTTTTCCCTCCAAAAATCTCATTTTGATGGAAAAGGGCTCTCTGCCAGACCACCTTCTCCCCCGCCATGCCAAGAGCTTTGTAGGGGCAAAATGTCAGTTCACACTTCTGGGGCAAAACAGAAGCTGGCAATTTGTTCTGATCATTTGCCAGCTAAGTGTCTTGGATTAAAAAAAAAAAAAATAGAAAAAAAATTTTAGGAAAAAAAATTATAGTTTTTTAACGACTTCCTTCTATGCACTGGAAACTATCTCAAGTTTTAGCCCCAAAACTTTTCCTACCTTACCACTACTGATTGCCTCATTTTACCTCAATATGTTCATTTTCACCCCCACAGATTACCTCAAGATTTAGTCCCAAAACTTTCCCTACCGGAGTGCTGGCAGAGCTAGTCGGAAATCATCAGTGATTTGAGAAATTAGGAAAAAAAGATAGGGCAAAACCTCATTAATTTTCATTTTCTGCTAATTACCCATGAGACAAGCCTTTTTTACCTGCCTCCATCTGAATCTGGCGATCGTTACAGCCAGGGGAGGGAAAAACCCAAGAATTTCGTTAGGAAATCAGTGAGGTCAGGCTTCCAGGCTTTCCCTCTGTTTTTTCCCTGTGTGCTGAGCTCAGGGCAGTCAGGGCAGCCCCATCCTCCAAAAGCTTTTGGAGCCCTCATTGCTGAGAGCCACGCAGCTGCCGGCACTTCGGAGGGCCCTGGGGCGCGAAGGGTCCCTTGGGGTGGGCTGGTGGGCCACGGGGCTGGCTCTGACCCCCTCCTTTCTCTCCCCTTTTGCAGAGCCCCCTTCCCCGTCCGGGCTCCGAGCCCCCGCCAGGTCGTGCCGGTACAACGGGACCACGTTCCAGCAGGGAGAGATGTTCAGCGGCAGCGAGCTCTTCCCGGGCCGCCAGCCCAACCAGTGTGTGCAGTGCAGCTGCTCCGTAAGCACCGCGCCGGGCCGGGCCGGGCCGGGCCTCCCATCACTGCTCACAGCCGGGCAGGGCTGGACCAGCCCTCCCATCCCTGCCCACAGCCCGCAGGGCTGGACCAGCCCTCCCATCCCTGCCCACAGCCCGCAGGGCTGGACCAGCCCTCCCATCCCTGCCCACAGCCCGCAGGGCTGGACCAGCCCTCCCATCCCTGCCCACAGCCCGCAGGGCTGGACCAGCCCTCCCATCCCTGCCCACAGCCCGCAGGGCTGGACCAGCCCTCCCATCCCTGCCCACAGCCCGCAGGGCTGGACCAGCCCTCCCATCCCTGCCCACAGCCCGCAGGGCTGGACCAGCCCTCCCATCCCTGCCCACAGCCCGCAGGGCTGGACCAGCCCTCCCATCCCTGCCCACAGCCCGCAGGGCTGGACCAGCCCTCCCATCCCTGCCCACAGCCCGCAGGGCTGGACCAGCCCTCCCATCCCTGCCCACAGCCCGCAGGGCTGGACCAGCCCTCCCATCCCTGCCCACAGCCCGCAGGGCTGGACCAGCCCTCCCATCCCTGCCCACAGCCCGCAGGGCTGGACCAGCCCTCCCATCCCTGCCCACAGCCCGCAGGGCTGGACCAGCCCTCCCATCCCTGCCCACAGCCCGCAGGGCTGGACCAGCCCTCCCATCCCTGCCCACAGCCCGCAGGGCTGGACCAGCCCTCCCATCCCTGCCCACAGCCCGCAGGGCTGGACCAGCCCTCCCATCCCTGCCCACAGCCCGCAGGGCTGGACCAGCCCTCCCATCCCTGCCCACAGCCCGCAGGGCTGGACCAGCCCTCCCATCCCTGCCCACAGCCCGCAGGGCTGGACCAGCCCTCCCATCCCTGCCCACAGCCCGCAGGGCTGGACCAGCCCTCCCATCCCTGCCCACAGCCCGCAGGGCTGGACCAGCCCTCCCATCCCTGCCCACAGCCCGCAGGGCTGGACCAGCCCTCCCATCCCTGCCCACAGCCCGCAGGGCTGGACCAGCCCTCCCATCCCTGCCCACAGCCCGCAGGGCTGGACCAGCCCTCCCATCCCTGCCCACAGCCCGCAGGGCTGGACCAGCCCTCCCATCCCTGCCCACAGCCCGCAGGGCTGGACCAGCCCTCCCATCCCTGCCCACAGCCCGCAGGGCTGGACCAGCCCTCCCATCACTGCTCACAGCCCCGCAGGGCTGGACCAGCCCTCCTCACTGCTCGGCTACAGCCCCCTGCGCTCTCCTGCAGCAAAGGGGGGCAGGAGTCAGGCCAGGAGATAAAGAAGGGGCAAAAGAGCCCCAAAAGCACCTCCCTCTGTCATCACACATCAGGTGGTGCTGGACACCTGCCCAGCAGCTATCTGTGGTGCTGGAATAGCTGTTCTGAGCCTCTGCTCAGCTCAGAGCTGGGTGGCAAGAGGAATGACTGACGTGTGGGAATTATGCAGCCTTTGAGGAGGCTGGTTCCTCTGCCAGGGACCCCAGCTGGTGGTGGGAAGGAGCCCTCCAATCCAGCTGCAGGTGCCACTGTCCCCAGGAGCCCGCAGGCTCTCGTCCCTCCCGGCTGTCTCTCGGGCTCTGTGTATTTGCCAGGGTAATGCCTCGGATACAAAGGGGAAAATAAAGGGCTGGCTGTGGAGCCTTCACTGGGGGATCTCGCCGGGCTGTGTCTGATGTTGTCAGCTGCTACAACAGCTGCGTGAACAGCTGGGCTAACCCTCTCTGAAAACTGCCCCGAGACCAGAGCCTCTGGGATAAATCCTGCTTTTCAGGGCACTGGCTCTTCCCTGCCTGGGGCAGGTCACTGCTGGGCAGGAGCAGAAGGAAGGGACAGGCAGCTGTGCATTCCCTGCGTGCAGAGCAGGGTTTGGTACATGGGACCTGCCAGATCCTGTCACCCCCCAAACTGCCCTCATCCTCTTCATGGTCCTCACAGAGCAGTTTAGCTTCCTGATGGGAAAGAGGCAGCTGTGGTTTGGTTTCCTAAGGATATCCTTGGCTGACCTCTTGGTCTTGCTTGACTGGGAGCTTGTGGATACCTCAGAGAAAATTGCTGCATGGAGAAGGCGACCTTGCTGTCGAGGTCTGGCTGCTGAACATCTTCTTTACCCTTTGGCAAAGCAGCAAAAACTCATTCCTGCCACAAACTGGTGCAAGTCCACTGACTGAGGTGGCACTGGGATGCACAAGGCCAAGGCTGGCCTCGACCCGTGGTTTTCAGCTTGAATCACCTGCAGCAATGAGATTTTCCAAACGATCCACTTAGGTCTATCCCTGCACCTCTGTGTGCTTGGCTCTGGTGTTGTGGAATTAACCAAGGGAGAGGGAGGGCAGAGCTTCAGTGTGGACCTGAACCTGGGCTCAGAGTCATGCTTCCCACTTCCACCCGTCTCCTCCGGGTGCTTTTCCTGGCAGATGCCAGGGAAAATCCTCCTGGGGGCTGTTCTGCAGGGCTGAGAGGTGTGAGGCAGCTGTGAAAGGCCTGGCAGCTCTAATGGTGCCTGGGAGGGAGGCACTGCCTGCCCTTTTTGGGGAAGAGCAGTGTGCTGTCCACGGAGCAGCCGTGCCAGGACAGGACACAGCCCTGCAGGACGGACAGACAGTGCAGCAGGGACAGACTCCAGCTGCCAGCAGGTGCTGGATGACTGGTGGCATTGCAAGATGGACTACCAGGGGGCTTTTGGTCATGGACTCATAAAATCCTGGGACGGTTTGGGTCAGAAGGGACCTTTGTGGGGGACATACAGCTCTTTATAAGGGTGACAAAGTGTTTTTTCCCTCCTGCCCTCCAGGAAGGCCAGATTTACTGTGGCTTGGTGACCTGCCCTGAGCTGCTCTGCTCCTCTCCCTTCAGCGTGCCAGATTCCTGCTGCCAGGTCTGCAAAGGTAACGGGGCTGGGAATGAGGGCTGGGACACTCCACTGGCTGCCACCTGGCAACAGGAGCCATCTCAAGCCACTTTGCAGGATTTTGGAAGCCTGGGCTGTAAATCAGGCTGCTTGTTATCTCTTGGTTGCACCGGGAAGCACAAGCTGAGGGCTTGGGTTTTCCTTGGATAAAATTAATTGCATGTGCAAAGCTCCTGTCTCTCCAGGCTCACAGGCAGGCCAGCATGTGGGGGAGAGCTGCTTTCAGCCCCACAGCATCTTCCAGGACAATATTTTTCCCTTGCAGATGGTTCCTTGGAGAAGTCCACGGAAGAGGAGCCCCTGCAGTTAAACAGAGGTGTTGTACGTGACTTTTGCATTTTAAAACTCCGCCTCTTGCCTCTAGCACAGCTCCCTGAACAGCTCACAGAATGCCCCTGCACACTGAGATCATTCCCAGCAGCTCTAGGAGGACACCCAGATCCTTGCACAGCAGAACCATGGGCACCTGATTTGCAGGTGAACATGCCATGGAATAGATTCTAGCTGGGAATTCAGCCTAGGTGAGAGCTCAGGCCACGAGGGAAAGAGTCCTCTGCTCTCCCTGGGCAGCTCCTTGGAGACATGGCTTGGTGGTGGACTGGCAGAGTCAGATGAAGGCTTGCACTCAATGACCTTAGAGAATTCTCCCAACCTAAATGATTCCAGTTCCATGACTCTGTGGCATCTTTGGAAGAGCAAAAGACCTGAAGGAACTGGATATATGGGACACTCCTCCTGGTGGGCCAGTGTCTGGCAGATTAAGCAGCCCAAGGACATTGTCAGAACAGCCCCAGAGGTGACCAGCAGCCAGGCCTGACCCTTGCCCGTAGAGCCAGGTGCCCAAACCTCTCTTGGGAGGGTTTTTCCTTCAGGAGAAGGTGTCTCCTCTCCCCTTGGCATCCAGGTGTCCCACCAGGAGGGCAGTGCTGGGTGGCCACCACTCTGCCTTCCCCAGGCTGTTTGTATCAGCAGCCCCAGCAGGGAAAAAGTGACTCCTTGGCTCCGAGGGTTCCTTCATGGCCACATTTCGGAGCTGGGCTGCCCATGCCAGGTCTGTGGGATTAGGTCACTTAGCTCCTGGCTCTGCCCTTTTCCATACTGCTCCGCCACCTATAAAACCTCCAAAACAGGCACAAGGGGATCCTTTGTGCTGCGTGTCTTGTCCCAGCACTCTGCTCTTGGAAGCCTGGGATGTTCCTGGGATGTTCCTGGCGTCTCAGTCCTGCTGGCTGGCAGCCCCACTCTGACTGCCCTGGTGCCTGCCAGGTGAGAGGGCAGCACACGGCCCATCCTCACCTTTCTGATCCTCTCTGAGCCACACAGATGCCAGCCCTCATTTCCCCACCTGGGAAAGACCAGCCCATTTCCCTGTGTGTTTTAGGGATGCAGGACCTCACACGCTTCTCTGAGGGCATTGGGCTGAGCTTGGGCAGGGAAAGGCACTGCCCCAGTGAGGGTGACCCACCTGAGGAGGACACCAGAGTGGGACACTGGCACCAACTGCTCAGCCTCCCTTGGGTGGTGGCAGCAGCAAGATGGGGAAGGGGCTGGAGCCCCAGGAGGGGCTGAGGGAGATGGGAAGGGGCTCCGCCTGGACACAAGGAGGCTGAGGGGTCCCTTGTGGCTCTGCACAGCTCCTGACAGGAGGGGTTGGGCTGTGCTCCAGGGAACAGGGACAGGAGGAGAGGGAACGGCCTCAGGCTGGGCCAGGGCAGGCTCAGGGGGAATATTCGGGAAGTTTCTTTCCGTTGTCCAGCCCTGGCACAGCTGCCTGGCATCCCCATCCCCTGAGGGATTTAAAGCTGTGTGGATGTGGCACTTGGGGACATGGCTCAGTGGTGGCCTTGGCAGTGCTGTGGGAATGGTCGGGCTCCATGATCTCAGAGGAATTTTCCAGCCCTAATATTTCTGTGATTTATACGGCCTGTGGGCCATTGCTTTCCCCTGTGGTCTCTGCCCCTTCCACTCCTGAGGGAAGGTGTGCAGGACACTGCGTGGCTTTTTCCAGCATGCTTTGGAATGAGAACAACTCAACTGCCGGAGTCTGAATCCCCTCTTTTCTCTGGCTGCTCACAGAGACACTCACAGGACCAGTGCTTGGGAGAGGTGGTGGGGAGGAAGCCAACCGTGTCCACAGTTCTCAGTTCTTCCCTGGAGTTAATTCCCAGAAACTTCAAACCCAAGGGAACAGGTGGCACCACTGTGAAGATCGTCTTGAAAGAGAAGCACAAGAAAGGTAAGGGATGGAGGGGCCAGGCAGTGACTTAAAGTGGCTTCTCCAGAGCCTGGAATTCTTCAGGGAGTCTGATTCAGCGGCAGGTTTCCACCAGCAAGTCCTTTTCCCCACTCCTCCAGAGCCAGCCTCAAGCAGATGTCTCAGTCCTCATGCCCACAGTCTCCTGACTGCACCAACCTACCACTCTCCAAAATGGCTTGGAAGAAGACTGGTCCTTGGAATGTTTTGGAGATCTGGGATTTGGGAAGGAGGGAGCTCAGCTGGAAGACTCCACATGGACCTTCCAGGACAGTGGCACAGAAAGACAGGATATTTCTCCTTGTGCAAGGGCTGGTCTGACCCAGAGCTGCCCCAGGTGTTCCTCCTGGAGGATAAAGTAGGAAAGTGAGATGAGGAGCAAGTCCCTTGATCCAAAGTGGGGAACAGCAGCTCCTTTCTCCTCTTGGCCACTCTCCCACCATTGTGCCTTTGGAAGGGCTCTTTCCAGGCCTTGGAGATGAAGGCCTGGAGGAAATTCTGGGGCCTCCAGAAATTTCCGTGGAGGAGTCAGCAGGTGGCACTCTTCACTGTGCTTCATTCCTGCCACAGCCTCGCAGGGACCCTGCCCTTCCCGAGGCTGGGAGCCAGGTGAGCTCCGGCTCACTGCCCCTGTCCCACCAGGGCGGGCACACCCAGCAGAGCCATCTCCTGCTCCCTCTGTCCCATGGCACCTGCTGGGGGGCACCTGCTGGGTCCCTGGGGCACCTGCTGGTCCCATCCCGCTTTCCGTGGTGTCCCGCTGCTGCCAGAGGGCCTGGCTCCTCCACACAGCAGCACCAGCCATGTCCCAGCTGCTGGAAGGCCGTGCCGCCACTGAGCCTTGGGCTGACCAAGTTGAGGATTTATTTCCACAGGCAGCTCTCTTCTGTCTCTCCTGCAGCTTGTGTGTACAATGGGAAGACCTACTCCCACGGGGAAGTGTGGCACCCCGTTTTCCGGCTCTACGGCCTCCTGCCCTGCATCCTCTGCACCTGCAGGGACGGCGTCCAGGACTGCCAGAAGGTCACCTGCCCCAAGGAGTACCCGTGTGAATATCCAGAGAAAGTAGATGGGAAGTGCTGTAAAGTATGTCCAGGTAGGTAGATCCTGCCTGCTCCTGCAGCTGCCTCCCAGTTCCTTCCCCAACCTTGGTTTAAAGCCTCAGGCTGACGGACCTGTAGGGATTCAGGTTGCTGGTGGCTAGAATTCACACCAGACAGGTTCAGCAGGGTTGGAAGGGTTGGCTAGTCTTGGAGGACTTTGCCAAGGTAAGGAAGATCCCCAAGACCCCCACAAGGTTCCATCTGTTGGGAGGATGAGGTCTGGAGAAACACACTTGAGGCAGATCCCTCCCGGGTGGAAGGCGCTTTCAGGGGAGAGCACACACAGCCTGTTCTCCAAACCCCCAGGTGGCACAAAAACCAGAGGGTTCAATTGTGCCAGCTGAGGTGCAGGTGTGAAGGGAGGAGCGAGGACACTTCCCAGGAGAGGGGCTGTCTGTGGTGCTCAGGGTCTGTGGGAATTGGAACCCCCCATCTCTGGAAGGGGAGGTAGAACACACAGGTTTTAGGGTGCTCCAGGTAGAACTGGGCTGGGGCTGGGACATGGAAAGGGTCTGGAGCCCCAGGAGGGACTGAAGGAGCTGGGAAGGGGCTCAGCCTGGAGAAAATGAGGCTCAGGGGGGACTTTGTGGCTCTGCACAACTCCTGACAAGAGGGGACAGCCAGGAGGGTCAGGCTGTGCTCCAGGGAACAGGGACAGGAGGAGAGGGAACGGCCTTAGGCTGGGCCCGGGGAGGTTTGGATTGAATGTTACAGAAAATTTCTTCCCCAAAAGATTGTCCAGCCCCGGCACAGCTGCCCAGGGCAGTGGTGACTCCCCATCCCCAGAGAGATCTGAAAGCTCTGTGACACCTGGGGACATGGGCCAGTGGTGCCTTGGCAGCGCTAAGGGAGCAGTTGGACTTGGTGATCTCAAAAGTCTTTTCTGAATTTAATGATTCTGCGATTCCATGGTGGAGAAGACCTCTTTTCCTTGTCTGTTCAGTGTGCTTTGGGTCTCTCAGCTCCCTAGTCTTTGGAAAGCTCTTTGCCTTAAGCCACAGACCTGGCAAAGATGTGGCAGGGTGTGACAGCTCCTCCTGTTCCCACTGGAGAACGTTTTGTGGGTGATAGCTCTCTGTACTGGAATTTATCAGGAGACCACCCACTGCTTGCACAGGAAGGCTAAAGGTACCTGAGTGTCTGGGAATTGGAACCCCCCATCTCTGGAAGGGGAGGTAGAACACACAGGTTTTAGGGTGCTCCAGGTAGAACTGGGCTGGGGCTGGGACATGGAAAGGGTCTGGAGCCCCAGGAGGGACTGAAGGAGCTGGGAAGGGGCTCAGCCTGGAGAAAATGAGGCTCAGGGGGGACTTTGTGGCTCTGCACAACTCCTGACAAGAGGGGACAGCCAGGAGGGTCAGGCTGTGCTCCAGGGAACAGGGACAGGAGGAGAGGGAACGGCCTTAGGCTGGGCCCGGGGAGGTTTGGATTGAATGTTACAGAAAATTTCTTCCCCAAAAGATTGTCCAGCCCCGGCACAGCTGCCCAGGGCAGTGGTGACTCCCCATCCCCAGAGAGATCTGAAAGCTCTGTGACACCTGGGGACATGGGCCAGTGGTGCCTTGGCAGCGCTAAGGGAGCAGTTGGACTTGGTGATCTCAAAAGTCTTTTCTGAATTTAATGATTCTGCGATTCCATGGTGGAGAAGACCTCTTTTCCTTGTCTGTTCAGTGTGCTTTGGGTCTCTCAGCTCCCTAGTCTTTGGAAAGCTCTTTGCCTTAAGCCACAGACCTGGCAAAGATGTGGCAGGGTGTGACAGCTCCTCCTGTTCCCACTGGAGAACGTTTTGTGGGTGATAGCTCTCTGTACTGGAATTTATCAGGAGACCACCCACTGCTTGCACAGGAAGGCTAAAGTGTCCTGAGCCTGGCTGGAGGGGCAGCAGTTCTGCATGATCCCCTCTGATCCGCATCTCCCAGGGGCTTCTGTGGAGTGGTCTCACCCAGGAGAGCAAGCAAAGGGCACTGACACGTTTTGGAATGGCTGCAAAGTCGTTTGAGCTGAGATTTTCAAGGTTTTCCAGCCCCTGAGTGGAGAGATTCTGGGATGGCCTCCTCAGGAGAGTGAAGGGCAGAAGCTCAGCTTGTTTTAATAAGGTTTTTGATATGTTTATGAGCAGGATTTATGATGTGGTGCCTGGTGGGAATGGGATGTGATGACTGAGCAGAACCCTTCCAGTCTTGCATTCCCACTCTAGTGGGTCTCTCTGGTTTAAATCCCACAACTTTCCCTGCTCGGGTCTCTTGTCTGCTGCTCAGGCTTCATTTTATTTCCAATTAAACACCCTGATGCAGCCAGAATGATTGTGTTCCTGCTTTCCAGTTCTCACAGACAGTGATCACACACACATTGCTCAGCCAAGTTACATCCTTGCCCTTTCCTTCACTGCGTGGGGGCTTTGCCCAGCTTCTTTTTCCAGGTGCTTTCTGTGACTGTCCTTGCCTTCCTCCTTTGTATCAGTAACTTAGGAACGCTGATGCTGATTCCCGACCCCGGGAATTGCTGCCATGTGTTGTGTGGATGGGGAACACTGCTGTGGGCAGAGCTGTGTTCCCCACACCTCTGTGTCCCTGCTCCTCCTCCCCGTGCGTGCGTGGGGGTGTGAAGCGGATGGGGAACACTGCTGTGGGCAGAGCTGTGTTCCCCACACCTCCGTGTCCCTGCTCCTCCTCCCCATGCGTGGGGGTGTGAAGTTCCTTGGTTGTTAAATTCCCGCTGAATTCCGGGGGTTCCTTTCCTGCTGTGAAGGTGGGGCTTTAATCGTGATCTCAAAGGGCTTTTCCAGCTTGAACAACTGCACACTTCTGGGAATGCCCTGGAGCAGGGGAGGTGAAGGCTCTGGGGCAGAGGTTTCCCTGGGCCAGGTGAGGGTGCTGGGCTGTGCCCACCCTCCTCTGCCTCACCATGAACTGCAGAGCTGAGCTCCTGTCCTCTGGCTGCTGAAAAGCCTCACTTCCATTTAAACTGGGATTTCCATTCCCTCTCAGAGAAGGAGAGCTCAGGACCACCCCAGAAAGCCTGGGGGAGAGCAGAATCAGGCCTAAAATAACTGTCTTACTAAAATAAACCCCAGGCATCTATTTATAGCCAAACTTTCTTTCGAGTAGTGTGAAAAGCTTCAGCATCCAAACTGACTGGGAGAACAAGGCTAAATTCAGCAGAGCTGGGCTCCTCTGCGTTCCAAGGACCACAACCAAAGGCAATAAATCTCCTTCCAAAACCACAGGGCATTCTTAATTACTCCAGATACATTAAAAAAAACAAAAAAAGAGGGGAAAATTAGCATCTCTTCTTTACCAAGAAAGCTGAAAAATTCACGTAGGACCCAGGGTGCATGTCCTTGTGGTGACACCCCTGTGGGGAGGGGGCTGGGGCTGGTGCTGAGCTCACCTGTGGGGCTGAGCTGCCCAGGCAGCCCAGGCTCCCCTGCTGTGGGATCATCCCTTTGCTCCCCTGGTGTTCCTCCCCAGCAGGAGCGAGATGGGGAGTGGGGAATCCAGCCCCTGCTTTGTGGCCACGGTGGCAGCAAGGTCACTGCAGGGAGTATGGGGGATCCGGATGGACAAAATCCCCCTTCCCCATCCCTGCTGGCAGAGGCTGCTGGGGTCAGGGGGAATGAAAAACATGAGGATGAGGAGGTCCACAGCTCCTTTATCAGCCTGTCCTTTGCTGCTGGTCCTGGAGCTGTGGCTCAGATCATGGGACTGTGCCCCGTGGCACCAAAGCCGTCGAGACGCCTTTTCCATGACCTGGCTGCGAGGATGGTCCTTCCTGCCCCTCTTTAATGAGCTCTGTCCCTGTTTTTGCTCAGAAAGCAGAGTCAAACCCACGGATGAAATGGCCACGCCCCGGTGTGGCAGTGGCAAGGGCCCCAGCCGTGTCCTGGTGTACACCTTTGTGCCGCCGCGCTCCGAGGCCTCCAAGGAGATCCTCAGGACCATGGCCATCGAGAAGGAGCTGGCAGAAGAGGTGGAAATCTACAACTGGAAGCTGATTAAAGGTGAGCACCATGGTGAAAGCAGCCAGCAGAGCAGGAGGTGTGTGTGGAAACCTGATGCTTTCCAAGCTTTGTTCAATTTTTCTGGCTTTTCTCGAGGCGCTCCACCCCTTGCGTGGTGAATCAAAACCTGCTGACAGCAGGCTGGCTTTTCTGACTCCCCCATTCCACACTCTTTCCCTGCATTCCATGCAGACCAGGGGCTGGAAACCACTTCTGGCCCCACTAACCTCACCATGAGCTGCAACACCCTCTGGAGGCACAGCACGTGGGCAACCAAGGGCTGGGGGCTGCTCCCCCAAACCTGCCTGCTCTCATGCCAAATGCACGTGGAAAACAAACAAAGGAATTGTTCTGGTGACTCCCTGGTTTTGCTTTTGCTCTTTTTTACACCCCAGTCCACCTACAGCTTGAAAGCTGCTGCAAAGGTGCACACAAGGGGGATGAATTGTGCCCAGCCCACTTTCCAGATGGGTGGGTTTGGATGCTCCTGTTGGTGTGTGCTCTGGAAGTCAGAGCACAGCAGACATGCTGTCAAATGGCTCCAATCTCTGGCTCTTTCCCCACACCTTCAGCTTTGCTCCTGTGGATGGGAGGAGTCTGGGGACACCTGGTCCAGTAGATATTTGTGCTGTGTCTCCCTGTGGCCCAGGGAAGCATCCCAGTGCCCCATTCCTGAGTTTCCACTGGGCACATTCTACCCACAGAACTTGAGTGCTTCACATTGGTTGTACCTCTTCTATGGATGCAGTGACCCTTGTTCTGTGTCTGCTGGACTCGTGCAGCCATCCTGCTCTCCTGCTATGTCCATGTTTCACCTCACTCCCTAGGGAGACCTCAGCCAGCTGCTGAGACTGGGCACGGCTGGGCAGCACCTGAGAGACCAGTCCCAGGGATGGAGCCCTGGCTGCCACCCCGTGTCCATCCTGGCCCTGCCATGCTCCCCCTGCCCGTGCTGCCCCTCCTCAGCGGGGCCTCCCTCACAATGGCACCTTGTGGCTGAGGACAGCTCCGGCCCCGCCGCTTCCTCCCCTGGCTCCTTGGCACGGGGCAGCACCCAAACCCTCTCGGCACCTTCCGAGGCCAACAGCTTCATGTCTGCATGGAGCTCCCCAGCCCTGCCAGCCAGGGACAGGGGAGGCTCTTGTCCCCGAGGCCAACGCGGCTCTTTTGCTTGGCAGAGCGGAGTGTTGTTGTTGGGAAAGAGCATGAGCTCACTCACATATGGATTCCACCTCTGCATGGGCCATCACTCTACCAACAGAGCAGCGTGTGTGGAGCAAAGAGCCTGCAAGTCACACCTGGACCTCGTCCCTCTGCCTTTGTACGGGCCCATGATACCTACGTGGCCTCATCTATTTCTGGGCCGGGATGGTTTCCTCCACGGAGCAGGAGCTGGGAGGAGAAACCAGCGTCCACTCCAGCCAAAAGTTTTACCCAGCTGGCTGGTGGCGCACAGCTGGCCTCCAGAAGAGTTGCAGCGTGGGCTTCCCCATCTTTTTAGGGCTCTCAACATCACCAGGAGTTTTGAAAATCTGATGTTTTTGATGTTTTTGACCTGTTGTCCTCTCGCTATGGGCTCTGTTAAGAAGTGCATGCCCATCTTTCTCACAAATCCCCTTTAAAGCACCGAGAACGGTGCCCCAGCAGCTCGCTCCGTCCCATCCCAAGCGCTGCCAGGAATGCTCCTGCCTGTTGGATGGGATGTGTGTGCCAGGAAACGGCGCTGCCCTGTGCCAGCTCCATCCATCCTGCCTCTCCACCGGTGGACTGTCCCTAACTTGTGCTGTCCTGGTTCCTGCTGGGGCACGGCCTGCCTTCCTCCCCAGCTCCTGGCATGTTGGGAATGACCCTCCCGGGGGGCCAAGGGTCTCAGCCAGCCCTCTGAGCTCTTGGGGAGCATTATCTAGGTTGGGTGATTAAAACATGTTTATCTCTTGTAGCTCTTGTTTAAAATATCCTCTTGGTTACTAATGTGCTGGAAAGTGCTTCATCAGCCCCGGGGACTGTAAGCACACCCTCCTGCTCCTTTCTAATTATAGCCCAGAAGAATTTATTGAACACTTGTGCCTTTCTTGCGTCAATAACAGTTTTACTATCTCCATCCAGTATCTTCTTTTGTTACTGGTAGGACTTCTTTACCCAACCCACTGAAAGGACTAAATAATAGTCCAAAAATCCATCTATTTCTCTCTCTGCCTTTGACTTCCTGTACTAATTTTCCACAGTTGATAACATCTCGTTTATATGGATTGTGAGGCAGTTCCCCTTCATTACATACCCTTTTTATGTGTAATTGCTGCTGGGAATCAGGGAAAGTCTCTTAACCAAATAAGGGGGACCACGTTGCCTCTCACATCTGCTGGCAGCAAGAGGCTGGATGTTCCGGGAGCCTGAGTGAGAGGTGGGAAGGGTATTCCAGGCATACCTGCCTGGTTTGTCATGCCTTGCAGGAGAACAGGAATATCATAGCCCCTAATCCCACAGGAAGGGCACTGTCATTGCTAAACACAGGTTCTGGTTTGCAGGGGTCAAACATCTGAGTCAGGCACCTCTGCTGAGGGGCCAACGCTGGCAGGGGCAGAAATATCAATCTCTGCTGAGGTCACTTGTGTTTTTTCCTGTCCTGGAGCAATTTCAGCACTGCTGACAAAGATAAAACTTTGGCTCCTGGCTGCTTCCAGGAAAGGAGATCATCTGAGCATCTGGGGTCTCTGCAGTGGGGGAACATAGGTGTTTGAGAGTGAGCAGAGGGGGCAGGGACCCCAGCGTCCTCTTGCTCTCACCTTTATTTCTTTTATGCTTTCAGGGGAGATTAGAACTCCTGCAGGGCAAGATGCTTTCTGGAGCAACAAAATCCTACTGCTTTCACCTGCTCCATGGTGAAACATCCTGATTTACCAAGCAGTGACTGCTTTCATAGAACCACAGAATCTTAGCAAGGTTTGGGTTGGAAGGGAGCTTCAATCCTGCCCTGTTCCACACCTCTGGACAGGACACCTTCCACTATCCCAGGCTGCTTCAACCTGGCCTTGAACACTTCCAGGGGTGGGGCAGCCACAGCTTCTCTGGGCTACCTGTGCCAGGGCCTCACAGGGAAGAATTTCCTCCTAATATCTAATTGATACCTAAATGAGATGTCTCCTGGCCTTGGCCAGGCCTGGATCCATTCCCAGCTCCCACCAGGCTCTGGCAGCAGGTCCTGCACCAAACCAGGACCCTGGGGCAGACAGTGACAGGAGGGGACAGAGAATCCAGCCCTGTGTGAGCCTTGAGTTGGGCACTGCAGAATCTGATGCCCTGTGTCCCCCTCTGCAGGAATATTCCATCTGATCCAGACCAAGAAGATCAGCAAACAAGAATTCAAGCAAGAAGCACAAAACTTCAGGCTGGTCACTAGGACAAACGAAGGTAGGGAGAGAAAAATCCCCTTTCCTGACTCCTCCAGCACTCCCTGCCCCAAACAACCTCCTGATTTCCTGCTCTGCTCTGGCCATTCCAAAAGGCTGTGCAAATCCCAGCACGGTGTGGGGAGCTGAACCGTGGGGACAGCACTTGTGCAAGTGCAGCTGGGCTGGGGCTGACCTGTCTTCACACCCTACGCAACACTCCTGGTTCACAGCCACGTTTTCACTTTATGGCATCGGAAAGGGCAGCCAGCTTTCTAAAAGTGGATGCACTCTTGTGAAATCCAGAGGTTTTGTCTCTCCAGAGCCCGTAAAACTGTTTGATTTTTATATCTAATCCATCTGGTGCTCCTGGGAGCACGGGGGGAGGAAAAAAAAAAATAGTGCCAGGGATTAGCAAAAAATGAAACTGTTGAAATATGTTTTAAAATCATTCTGGATGTTCCGGGATGTGCGTAAACATGACAAAGAGCAGGAATGCCTGTGCACGGGCTGGGAGTGCCTGTGTGGAGCAAAACTGCCTGGCTGCTCCCTGCTGGCTGCCTCCTGGCCCGGCTGGGCTGGAGTTTAGAGGGATAGGCTTGGCTCAGAGCCGTGCCCAGCAGCCAGGGTCACTCGGAGCAGCGCTGCTGCCCCGGGCACAGCAGCACTGCCTGGGTTTGGTTTCACCCCCAGTCCCTTTGAGACAGCATCTTTTGACCAAACAAACCCTGGGGGATTTTCCAGTCCCTGCTCCCGGGCTGGGTTTCACACCGTGGTGGAGTCTGGCACGTGCCTCCTTCTTCTTGCCTCAGTTTCCCCTGACAAATAACCCTGTTGTGAAACCGTCCTGCTGCCGTGGCTGCAAGTTCTAGGAAAGCTCTGACCCATGATTTCTTCACAGCAGAAGATTAATTCAGCTAGAAAATATTCCCTCCACCCCCGGGGTGATGACATTGGGGCTGCACAAGCCTTGCTGGGGTTGCACTGAGGGAAGAGAACACCTGGAGGGAAAGCACCTCCAGCCACCCCCTGCAAATCTGGGGATTCTTTTGGGGAGCAAGGAGAGGGACTGGGACACTTTGTCCTGGTTTGGGGAGGATTTCACAGCTCCACATTTGATTTGCTGGGAGTCTGCAGCTCTTTGGGGATTCAGAGGGATTCCTTCCCTCTTCTGCAGCAGGATTTTCCCCTACTGTAGGTTGGTGAATGAAGACCCAAGGCTGAGGCAGCAGCAGAAAAATGAATATAAATGGGAGGGAATTTGAGTGCTGGGGTTGCACTGAGGGAAGAGAACACCTGGAGGGAAAGCACCTCCAGCCACCCCCTGCAAATCTGGGGATTCTTTTGGGGAGCAAGGAGAGGGACTGGGACACTTTGTCCTGGTTTGGGGAGGGTTTCACAGCTCCACATTTGATTTGCTGGGAGTCTGCAGCTCTTTGGGGATTCAGAGGGATTCCTTCCCTCTTCTGCAGCAGGATTTTCCCCTACTGTAGGTTGGTGAATGAAGACCCAAGGCTGAGGCAGCAGCAGAAAAATGAATATAAATGGGGGGGGGGGTTTGAACAACCCACCCCTAAATGGGGCTGACAGAAGGGAGGGGAGAACCATACCTGTCCAATACCCATGAAACTGAAATTTTGGCTTTCTGGGGTTGAGACAGAAGCAGAATGCTTCCTCCCCGAGAGGCAGAAAGTCAGCCCAAATCCGACGCATGCTGGGCAGGACATGGACCTAACACCCTTTGAGGAGGTGGAGAGGGGGGTTTGTCCCTGTTTCAGCCTTTTCAGACAGTGCTAGTGTTCCACAAGAAGCGTTGTGAGTCTGCAGCTCTTTGGGGATTCAGAGGGATTCCTTCCCTCTTCTGCAGCAGGATTTTCCCCTACTGTAGGTTGGTGAATGAAGACCCAAGGCTGAGGCAGCAGCAGAAAAATGAATATAAATGGGGGGGGGGGTTTGAACAACCCCCCCCTAAATGGGGCTGACAGAAGGGAGGGGAGAACCATACCTGTCCAATGCCCATGAAACTGAAATTTTGGCTTTCTGGGGTTGAGACAGAAGCAGAATTCTTCCTCCCCTGAGAGGCAGAAAGTCAGCCCAAATCCGACGCATGCTGGGCAGGACATGGACCTAACACCCTTTGAGGAGGTGGAGAGGGGGGTTTGTCCCTGTTTCAGCCTGAGCCCCTTTTCAGACAGCGATAGTGTTTTCCACAAGTGCCATTGATGTGCCATTACTGCACTGGAGGGTGAGAGCCCCTCCGGGCCCCATTTGAATTGCAGGACTGCAGTACCTGTGGCTGGGATCACTGCTGAGCTGCTCTGGGATCACACGGCCTGCTCAAAGGCTGTTGCTGATGTGTGCCTGTCCCTGCTCATCCAGGTCACTGGAACATCTTCCGAGCGCAGACGTCGGAGCTGAGGATGACAGAAAGCCCAGAGAAGGAAACAAAGGCCTTGTAAAGCAAAGAACTTCTCTCTAGCTATTGATTAACCTACACACAGACACACATACACGTATATATGAACTCCAGAGCTGCATTATTAAATAGACTGGCACTGCAATACAGGTTACACTAGTGGAAATTCCAGCTACTCCAGAGAACGATCCCAACCCATCGGCATCGAAGCCACAGCCGGGCAGGTGCCTCTCTCCAGCAGGGAGCCACCACCTCCCGCTGTCCCAGAGGTGTTGGATGAGCAGAGGGAGGAGGGAGAGGGCGGAGGGGTGGGACCTGGTGCCACACGAGGAGTGGGATCCATCCCGGGCACCCCGGCGTTCCTGAGGAGCGTCAGGAGCGCAGCGAAGCGGAACATGACCGTGCTTCTCACCAGCTGCTGGGGGAAAGATGACCTGCAAAGAGAGAAAAACCATCCCTCCTCCTTTCCTTGGAGCCCCTGGGAGCTGCAAAGGGTTTTCTTTGGCTGAATGCCCTCCAAGGGGTGTTTTTGAAAAATCTCCTCTCTTCCAGCTGGGATGATTCTTCTCCCTCTTTGCAGGTCACTTGAAGATGTAGGTTTTGGGAGGACCCACCTGCCGGCAGGGTCCGAGACCCTGCACACTGCACTAAGGTCGCTACTCAGCATTTATTGTGCTATATATTTATATCTATCCTATATAATATCTACCAGGCTGTATTCACAGGAGGGGCATCTCCCAAAGGGCAAACAGGATCACTTCTGCAGCATGGGGAGGAGGGCGTGCAGCAGCATCACCTTCCCCCTGTCTGGAAACAGCTTTGGGGGATTTTCAGGTTGTTTTGGTACATATATTTATCCCTGGATTCTTGTTTTATTCTGTTTTGATAAATCTATTTATTTGGAGATCCAACTCTGTCTGACAAATCTGATTAAAAATCTTCTTGATTCATCTTCCTGTGCTGCTTCTCCTTTCCCTGTAGGGTCTGTGTGAAGGCTCAGGGGCCCTGGTGGGGTCTGGTTCCCTTGCACTCCCTCGGGGCTGGGATAAAGAGAAATCCCACAGAAGCTTTGCTCATCCATAGCGGATCACCCCTTCCCATTTGCTTGTGGTCTGCTCATGGCTCTGGGCTGAAAACAGAGCTCACAGGGGCACACAGCAGGGCTGAGCTGCCCAAGTTTATCCAGGACAAAGCCCCTGTGAGCCTTTGGGCATTGGGGAGCTCCCCATGGCAGGAGGTGAAGGGAGAGGGGCTGAGCCACCTCCCTCCCCAGGGCTGCCTGCATGGCTGGGGCTGTGTGCAGGCAGGGAGGATGCTGCCAGTCCTCCGACCCCTCACTTGGCAGCCTAATTAGCTTAATTAGCTTGTGTGACCTAAGTGGAGCTGAGCCCAGGGCCAACCCGTGCTCATTTACCAGAAGTGGAGGTGTTTGGAGCGAGGCTGCCACGGTGGGGTCATGGGGAAGGCTGGGAGGAAAGCAGCACGATTCCGCACTGCCTGCTCCAGGTGAGGCTTCCTGCAGGGATCTACAGGTGCTGAGCCCATAGAGGCTGTGCTGGGACCACTGAGCCCAGACACAGGGCTCCTGGGCACACCCCAGCTGAGTGCCCTGCACACAGGGCTCCTCTGCCCAGGAGGGTGCTGGATGTGCTGGATGTTCCGTGGCCAGGAGAGACCCTTTGCTGAGCAGCAACAGGGGGACCTGCATGGGCTCGGTCTCTTCTCCCAGGGAACAGTGGCAGGACTAAGAGGAAACGCCCTCAAGCTGCACCAGAGGAGGTTCAGGTTGGATATTGTGAAAATTCCTTCCCCAAAAGAGCTGTCCAGGCCTGGCACAGCTGCCCAGGGCAGCGGTGAGTCCCCATCCCTGGAGGGACTGAAAGCTGTGTGGATGTGGCACTTGGGGACATGGGGCAGTGGTGGTGGCCTTGGCAGGGCTGGGGGAAAGTTGGACTGGAAGGCGTCAGGGGGTCCCCAACGTGAACAATTCAGTCACTCTGTGACTGTGTGGATGTGGTCCCTGACATCCCCCTCCCTGAGCAATCCTGCCCAAGTGTGGTGCCCTGTACTTGTGGAGAGCCCCGCGTTTGTGAGGTGACCACAGAGCTGCCTCACCCCGCTTCCAAAAATGCCCTTTGTGGGATGTGGCTCTTCCGTTCTCCCCGGGCACCCCAGCTCTGCTGGGCTGTCTAGAGCAGAGGGGCATGGGGGAAAAGACACCGGCTCCCTTGGCTTAGCGGTGCCAGAGAGCTCCATTTCCCCAGGACCGGGAAGGACCCTGCTGTGGCAGCGCTGGGGACACGCAGGGCTGGTGACCGGGCTGTGTCACAGCGCCGCTGGGGACACGGGGCTGTGGCAGGGGCGGGCTGCGTGCGGGATGGAGCCGTGGGCAGCGAGCACTGCCTGCGGCCGTGTCAGCGGTTCCCAGCGGTTCCCAGCCTCCCCAGGAGCCTGCTCTCCCCGCGGGGCACCGCTGGGATTAACCCTTTTAATTGGATCAGCAGCCCGGGGCAGAAGGCAGCGCCTCGCCGTCGGGGCATCGCCTCGCTCGCCCTGCTCCTGCTCCTGCTCCCTCCTGCTGGTGCTCCTGCTCCCTCCTGCTGCTGCTCCTGCTGCTGCTCCTGCTCCCTCCTGCTCTGCTCCTGCCCCGTGCGTCCGTCCCTCGGCAGCATGGCCCCGCCGGGACCCCGGGCTGCGAGCCGGGGTGATGCGGGGGCACAGCGGGCACAGCCACCTTCACCTCCCGCAGCACCGGCGCTGTTGGCACATCTGCGAGCGAGGAGCAGCCCCGGCTTGTGGCTGCAGGGATGGCCACGGAAGCCTGGAGTTGTTTGGGCTGGAAAAGACCTTTCCACTGCTGGAGTTGTTTGGGTTGGGAAAGACCTTTCCACTCTCTCCAACCCCCTGACGGCAGGGACAGCCAGTGGGGTCGGGCTCTGCTTCTGCGGGTCCCGCAGGACTCAGAGCTCCTGCTGCTGCTTCTCTGGGACCTGCGTGTGCTGCCAGCCCTCCTGCCATCCTCTGCGCTCTGCTGTGATGTGTTTGGAGTGCCCAGATCGCTCACGGCTGGGCAGCCTGTGCTGAGACACCCCCGGGCTCTGCAGAGAGCTTTGGGCACCGGCTCCAGTTTGGGTTCCCGGCACCAGGCAGGCAGGGAATGGATGGACCTGGTTCGGCTGGAAGACGTGCCAAAAAACGTTTTCCCCTTCAGAAATGCTGGAAGTGGAACCGAGGGAGGGAGGAGCGTCCCATCCTTGGAGAAACCCAGCCTTGTCCTGGACACAACCCTGAACAACCTGATGTAACTTCACAGTTATCCCTGCTTGGAGACAGAGGTTGGACCAGGGACCTCCCGGGGTCCCATCCAGCCAGAATGACCCCGTGGCTGTGTGCTCTGGGATGGATGGCAAGTCACCACCAAAAATCTTGGCTCTACCTCTGGGGTCTTAGGGCTTTTTTACGTCAGAGCCGTGCTATTTCATGCTGTATTATCAGGTTAGTCAAAACACTTCTCCAAACTATATGTCTATATAATTGCCAGCTACACTCACTTCCTTGGCCCCTGCTGTTTTCCATTGCATGGGGTTTTCAGGCACGCAGAACATCCACTTTCACCTTGGTGTGCAGAAGCCCCTTCCCTTGGGGAAGGCAGCACTCCTGGTGGTGCCTGCTGGGATCCTGCTGCCCACGGGAGCAGCCGTGCTGGTGACGGGCACTGCTCACCTTGGGGTGTCCCTGCACACCAGGCTCTGCCACAGGGAAACGCAGGCACTCCAGAGAGGGTCTGGAGCTGCTCCCAATGTCCTGTGCAAAGCCCACAGCTCTGGAGATGGTTTGGATTTTTAGGCATCGCCCAATGAATTGGGATGTATGTTCTTGTATCACCTTCCCCCAGTCAAAGGGAGGGATTTCTTCCCAGAAGGATAGGTTTTCCCTTAAAATCTCCCCTAGAGACCCATATACTGCACTGGGAGAACATTTCCCCTGCATCCACTCTCCTCTGCACATCCTCTTCTTTTTTTGGGACGAGAAATGGAGAAACCAGAGGATTGTCAGTGCTGCAGGGCTCACAGGCTGTTCTCGTGCCACCACAGACCTGTCTCCCCTCCAGACTAAACAGTCCTAATATTTCCTGTCTCTTCTCACATAGAAATGTGTCTGTAATCACTCTTTTCTCCTGTTTCTTCACCTTTTTGGATGCAGGAGCAGCTCAGGATGTACCTAATCTGGCAGGTTGTCCAATCTCTGCTGGGGAAATGGGATCACATTTCCCTGTCTCCAGCTTTGTCAAAGCTCAACACCCCCAGAATCAGGAAACAAAGAAATCCCTGCAGAGAGAAGCTCTGCCAGCAAGTCAGGACTGTCTGGACACTGGAAAAAGCCCCTGGCTTCCTGGAAGGTTGGTGCTGAGAAGGGGGTGATGAGAAAAGCAGGGAAATCCTTGGAGGTGGCAGCTGGAGCCGAAGGAGGGATGGAGGCAATGTGGCTGGCATGGCACGAGCGCAGCCCCAGAGGCCCTTTCCTCCTGCAGGATGCCTGGCCTCGGCCCATTCCCAAACGTGGGCATTCCAGAGGGGAGGTGGGACAGACCCGTGGCACAAAGGAGCTGGTGGGTTGTCCCGTGGCTCTCCTGCCCCGTGGGATGAGGGAGATCCGCCTTGACTGAACCTCTGCGTGGCTTTGCTTGCTCCCCTGGTTTTCGGCCATGGAAGTGTGTGGCTCCAGCAGAGATCCCTGTTTGTACAGGCTGGATAAATCCAAAGGAAACTGACTACAAGTCCTTCTCACCAGTGTTGCCAAAAGACCATGATTCAGTGCTACTTTTTTGGGCAGAAATTAATTAGTTCAGGCCCATCACAATTATCTAACTCAAGGAGCACGACAATGACCCACTGTCTAATGGTCCTTCATGGCCATTTAGCACCATCTGGGTCGTCTGATCAGGGGCTTTGCAAGCAGTTGAAAATGAAGTAAGAAGGACTGCTTGGCCCAGACACCTCTTTTTGCCTCCCAGCTGCACGGACAACGCGAACAATCCTGCTG